AAAGCTCTTTGGATCACTAAGAGAAAGGCGCTATATAAGTGTATATTATTATTATTATTATTATTATTATTATTATTATTATTATTATTATTATTATTATTATTATTATTATTATTATTACTTGGTTAAGTCACATGTTCCAGTGCCAGTGGTAGTGTTCTGGTGTCATACAATGACACCAGAACAAAGCTTGATAAAAAGCTTGATAAAATTTATACTCTTTTTTTAGGTTCTGGTGGAGTACTTCAACCTGTAGGTATGATCTTGGTATTTTCAAGCTCTGTATTCCGAAGAGCTCTGTTTCGTTTAGCTCGTGGAAATAAGTATTTTAAAAATCGTATTCTCTGCGTGCTGCAGCGTTGTCTTTTCTTTTGAAAAAACCCTTAGTTCCATGTCGTCAGGTTCCTCTGTCTAATTCCGTACCAGGATCTCTCACTCTATCTTACGCTGGGAGATCTGGGTTCAAGATCCCTGTCCCCGACGTACTTGGAAACCGACACGAAATATACTCATTGCTAGTTAAACATAGTTTGAGTCTTCAAAAGTAGGTGGAGCATGATCGTCCAGGTGAGCGTACTCCTGAATAGGAATGTTGTTGACAGTGACTGAAATGACTCAGAAAATGACTAAAGCACAGGTTGTTGAAACGTCAGTCACCATCAACAACAGTCCTTTTCAGGACTACGCTCACCCGGACGATCATTCTCCATCTACCTTTGAAATGACCTTTGGGTTCAACCCTTGTACAGTTTTACAGCTGGAGACTAGAATCCAATTTTACGCGCACGGGTTACCGGAATCACAAGACTTCTAGTTGTTTCGCTCTTGCTTATGCTTTGGGGGATACGGTTACATTTTTCTATTGCAACATAATCTCACCCCCTACCCCGACTCTTATATAGCCTGCAGGGTGTGTCTCCTTCTCGCGCGCCCGTTTTCTCTCGTGCCCACTACTTCCAAGCGCCTGCTACGCAGGCTAACTCTTATATAGCCTATATCATCCAGATTCATTTGAATTTCGGATAAAATAATCAGTGTATAATTGGGAAAGGCGACGTGCGAGCAAAGCAGCCAAAAAAGTTGTATTCATTTTGGTACCTTCTTTCTTGCAGCGGCAAATAGGCTGCCATCAGGGAAAAGGCTAAAACGTGAGTAGATTTATGTAGCATTGTTTTAGGTGTGCGTTTGCAAAGTGTCCAAATTTCAGCGAATTTCCTTCTAAGGAACTGTCGTGGTATCCGTCAGGGGATGAAATGAAACTCAGTCTCTGAGAGATATGGGTTAGAATGTGCGCAAAATGATGAAGTGCTAGCTAGGATATTGAGACTACTGCTGAAAATGCGTTCAGATAAAGCTTTCATCTTAATTTGCGGCTATTGAATCAATGTTGAATTAATCTTAAAATTCTTGAGCCTTTAGCGCTCCAATTTTGAATCTTTGACAAATAATTACTGTCTTGCCTGGCTGCAAAGAATATTTTAATGACTTCATGTATGTATGCAAGGCGGTGTAGATTTTCTTAATTTTGAATTTCCTTGACTGAACCGATCTCATTTTTTTTACAGAATGCTTGCAGCCTCTCGGAATGGAGAGCAAATACATACCGGACTCTCAGATCACAGCCTCGTCTGAGTGGAACAGTAATCACGGCCCTTCAAATGCCAGACTGAACTTTCAGGCTGGAGGGGGAAGAACTGGTGCATGGTCTTCGAAAACTAATGACGTTAATCAGTGGCTGCAGGTGGATCTCGGACAGAAAACAAGGGTGACAGGTATAAGGACTCAGGGACGATCAGACTTTAACCAGTGGGTTACAAGCTTTACCGTTTCCTACAGTGACGA